CTTTCTTTCTTTCTTTCTTTCTTTCTTTCTTTCTTTCTTTCTTTCTTCCTTCCTTCCTTCCTTCCTTCCTTCCTTCCTTCCTTCCTTCCTTCCTTCCTTCCTTCCTTCCTTCCTTCCTTTTTCTTTCTCCCCTCCAATTTTGTGAGTTGCCAACCAGTGGATTATCAGGGAGGAGGCAGACTGCTGTTGGCAGAGATATGAATGGGTCCGTTGCAAAGAGTTTAAGGAAGTTGCCGCAGCTCCTGGTTACTCCCGGGGGTGGAAGACGTGTGGTGGGAGAAGATTCCACTTTTAAGCATGACCTTCTGAGTTTTTGCTTACCGTAGGTTCCTCGACTTATCTTGTGGCTGATGGTGGAGCTGGCTATCATTGGATCAGATATGCAGGAAGTCATCGGCTCAGCAATTGCCATCAACCTCTTGTCCGTTGGGAAGTAAGTTAGCTTTGTAATTCTCTGAGTGTTTTGTGGTTTCAGCAGTCTCCTGCTAGTCATGAGGTAAAAAAAAATACAGAGATACAATCAAGCAAGAAAATTCCATATCAAATCTAGGAATTCTTTCCCCAGTCAATACATTCCATCACTGAAGCAGCCCTTGACAACTGGACAATAATATTTAAATATTAGTCATGGGGTATGTAAATCTATTACACTTTAATGGCAACATTCTTTTTAAAATTTCTGTAGATAGGTCATATTTGAAAATGAACTTTTCAAATGTGAAAAGTTTCTCAATGACTGAAATGAGGCAGGTGACATTTAAGCAAAACTAGTCCCAGTTTTTCAGGTGTTTTTTCCCCCTCCTATTTATTTCAACTAATTAAAGATATTTGCCCTTTTCTTGTGTCTTTTCCCTGAAAAACCCTAAGAGTGTTTATATAGGCCTTGACTAAAATTGAATCAGGGTAACCTGAAGTAAGCAAAAGGTATTTTTGAGCAAATGCGGTTAAGTTATGAAATCCACTGTTTAATCAACACTGATTTTAATTAGTGTAGTCCGGAAAGAATTAGGCTGCTTGATACTTAATTAACTCCGTAATCAAAAGAAGCACGTATGTTTGAAATGCAAGTTGCTAGCAAGGAGAGACAGCAGGAGACAATTATTGTTTCCACGCTTCCAGATTCAGTTTAGTTGGTAATTCTGTGGTACTGAGCCTTGGATTGCAAGGATCTCTAGCCTGATCAAGATCTCTAGCCTGATCCTCAGAATGCTAGTCAGTGGTGGGATTCTACCGGTTCAGCCCAGTTCGACCAAACAGGTAGTAAAAAATGCTACCGTTCGGCTGAACTGTTATTTTTTTTCCTCACGACAATCAGCTGTTCTGATGATCAGCTGTTCCTGTCTTACTGCTTTGCCCAGGAGGCTTCTCTGAAGCCCAGGAGGCAAAAAAGGGGGCACGTGGGAGGCGTGGGGTGCTGCGCGGCCCCTCCCACTCCGTTTTTTGCCTTCTTGGGCCTCAAGGAAGACTCCTTGGAGCAAAAACGCCACCCAGGAGGTCAAAAAATGGAGCGGGGGTGGGTGGGTGCTGCACACCCCCAAAAAAGAGGCAAGCCACGCCCACCCAGTCACATGGATGCGCCCACCTAGCCACGCCCAACAGAACCGGTAGTAAAAATATTTGCATCCCACCCCGGATGCTAGTGTGTGTATGCCCCTCTCTAGTATAGGTGCTCCTCAACTTACAATCACAATTGAGCCCCAAATTTCTGTTCCTAAGTGAGACACTTGTTAAGCGAGTTTCGCTCCATTTTACAACCTTTCTTGCCACACTTGTAAAGTGAATCACTGCAGTTCTTAAGTGGGTCACACTGTGCTTAAGTGGATCTGGCTTCCCCATTGACTTTGCTGGTCAGAAGGTCGCAAAAGGGGATCGTTAACTGAACTGTCATAAGTCGACGACTAGCTGTATAATGGATTGATGAGAAAGCCACAGTCCAACATCTAAGGAACATGCAAAGTCCAGTGTTCAACTATTGATACAGCTTGATAAAGTTGCTTGAAACTTTGGTGCGTTATTTCCATTCAATTGTATGTCATGGGTGAACATCTTATCCTAGGCTGAGGACTATGGACAGACTTTGGATGCATGACTGCACCACCTTCTGAAAGGCAGAAAGAAAGTCACCAACACTTTTGAGGGTCACATACAGCAGGGGTCCCCAACCACCGGGCCGCGGACCGGTACCGGTCCATGGAACATTTTCTACCGGGCCGCCGGTTTACTGGGCGCTGCCATCTTGTTTTGATGAGAAAGTCCTTCCGGTGAGCTTTTCCGGTTGGAAAGCGGCATTTGGGTCCTGAAGGAATCCTCGCACCTTAGTTTCATCGAAGGGGGGGGGCGGCTTCCAACAAAACTAAGGCGCGAGGATTCTTTCAGCACCCAAGGCAAGGCGAGCTGAGCGACCGTCCCGAAGCCGTCCCGAAGCCCATCGACAAAGATACAAAGGAGGAGTTGAAAGTGGCAGGGAGAAGCGGGGGACGGCTGGCTGGCCGGTCGCTCGGCTCGCCTTGCCATGAGTGCTGATGCCGGTACCGGGCCGCAGATCATTTTGTGATGCCGGTACCGGGCCGTGGCACAAAAAAGGTTGGGGGCCACTGACATACAGGGATGGGATTCTACCGGTTCTGTCCGGCTCTACAGAACCGGTAGCTCTGAAGAGCAGCAGACACAGAACCGGTTCTGTGTCTGCTGCTGTTTTGGCCCACCCGCCCACCCGGGCTCTTACGTGTCCTTTATTTCCTGCTTTGCATGGCACAGCTGAGGTTGAAAAAGCAGGGAAAAGGGGCTTTTCCAACCGCTGTGCACCCGCACACAGCGCTGCTCAGCTGTCCCGGCAGCTCAGCAGGTCGTAAATTGCACTCGCGCGACTTGTGTGCGACGCAGAGCAACAGAACCGGTAGTTATACCAGTCGGATCCCATCCCTGGTCACATATAATATCAGGCTGTATTTCATGTAGTACAGGTCGACTTACAACACATTTCGTTTAGTGTCCGTTTGAAGTTAACACTGGCCCTGGAAAAAGTGACTTACGACCATTTTTCACAGTCATGAAAAACTGTGTATCGCTATTGTATCATCCCCATGGCCATGTTATTTCCTTTCAGATGCTTGACGACTTGTTCATATTTATGTCGGCTGCAGTATCCCGGGATATATGTCCTTTTTCAACCTTCTGACAAGCAAAGTCAATAGGGAAGCCGGATTCACTTAACAAATATGGCAAGAAAAGTCGTAAAATGGGGCAAAACTGGAACAAATTTTTCACTCAGGAAATTTTGGGTTCAGTTGTGGTTGTAAGTTGAGGTCTACCTATATCAATATGGTCCCTTGATATAAGTGCTATCAAATGGCACCAGGCATCTTTTGGGTAGCCATCATGCTCATTACCCAATATTAATTTTTAGATCTATTTAAAATATTTACATTTTTTTAAAAAAGAGAAGCTGCTGTGCTGTGAAGCACCTGTAGCATCTTAAATTTCCAAGTTCCTCTGCCCTTCCAAATTTCTTAAAAAGTAAATGTAATGAGTAAAAGCATCTTAGTGAATTGTTTAGAGGAATGTCCATTGTATAAGAAAGGGACAAAGAAAAGCAGGAGTGGTAGGAAGCAGCTAGGAGTGAGGAACCTAGAGCAGGGGTGGGATTCAATTTTTTTAACAACCGGTTCTGTGGGCGTGGCTTAGTTGGTGGACGTGGCTTGGTGGTCATGTGACTGGGTGGACGTGGCTTGGTGGTCATGTTATTGGCTGGGTGTGGCCAACTCAATATCACTCACATCAAGGCACGCATCTCTTCGCCTGGCCTCTCATGACTGCGAGGATGCTGCAACAGTCGTAAATGTGAAAAATGATCATAAGTCACTTTTTTCAGTGCCACTGTAACTTTGAATGGTCACTCCACATAAGCAAAGTACCAGCAAAGGAGGGGGAAAAAACTCCAGAGACATTCCTGAGACAGGAAGTCTAGTCCTGCCAAGAATGTAATAAGGGTTAACAGAGAGGCAGTTTCTGTAAGCAACACCAGAATGTTTCCTTCCTGCCTTCCTTACAGGATTAGACCAGTAATTTCTTCTAACAACTGGTTCTGCGAACTGCTCAGAATGTTAACAACCGGTTCTAGCGAATAGGTGCGAACAGGTAGAATCCCACCCCTGAACTAGAGGGGTGTCAGGGGATATCCTGGGAATCTTTGCAAATGGTTGTTTTCCTCATAGCAGCCATTTCTTGAATGGGGAGCCCTTCTAGGAGTCATTGTGCAGTTAACAAAACCAAGAGGTTCTCCGAATTCCAAGTGTGCCTACAACTTAGTTCGGGTTCCTGCTGCATTGTGCACCTAGCTATAACTGCTTTACTTCCTTTCTGAATAAGCTTATAAAAATTCAGTTTCAGAGCTGAGAGTTATTAGATAGCTGCAGCTCAGGTAGATGGCTTCCTTTGAAGTATCGAAGCAAATAGTGGAAACAGCTTGCTGTCTTTGCATCCTAAAACAATGTTTGGTCTTCTGAAATGACACTTTAACCTGATCGAGCCAGTGGAAACAGCCAAGCTTACCCAAAATACAATATTTTCTGCATGGGTTGCTAGAAATGGGCAATGTTTCGCTCCATAAATTTCCAGTAAGCTGCCCATTTGTTTCCTGGTTAAGGAGGCTTTCTCTTCTGTTTTGTCTTTCCACAGAATCCCTTTGTGGGGTGGAGTCCTCATAACAATAGCTGATACCTTTGTGTTTCTCTTCCTGGACAAGTATGGTAAGTGCTTTTTTTTATTGAAGTACATTTCTTTTTTTCTCTTAAATAATCTCTTGATCGATGGGGTTAAGGCACTTTGATGTGTGGGAAAGGGTTCTGGTTGCCACGCTTCAGAGATTTCACTTTGTGCACACTTCTGGAAAGGTTTTAGCTTGATTCTTTTCAAAAATGCCTTGCCATGCAGAGAAGACAATTATATGTGCTTTCTCCCTCTCTTTCTTTCATGTGCAAACCCAAATACATATCCCAGAGGTACTATGGGAGAATCTTAGGGTTTTCTCCAATCCCACTTTCCCCCAGTGCTGCTGCCATCATGCTGAAAAGATTTAACCTAGAGCCCCTCAACCCTTGCCTATATGGGTTGCTCTCTGGCAGTTGCAGTGGGAGAATGTTATGTCTTATTCTCCCCCCCTCCTCCCAGCCCTCTTAGAACAGCTGCTATATCTGCAGTCCTTCCATTTAAGAAGGATTGCAGGTTCTTTATGGCAATTGTACCACAATGTCAGCCTTCAAGATCTTCTACTATTGCTTTGCATCGTTTGGCTGCCATAAGTAACGGGGGGAGGAGGGGGTAAAGTTTGGGAAGCAAGCTGGAGGTGTTACATTCTAGTGTTGTATAAAATGAGGAGGGGGGAGTATAAATTCTTGCTTAGGTTTCTATTTCTCGCTTAGCTTTCTTTCCTCTGCACAGCTGCAAACCTTTATCAAAATATGCCAAGGTCAACGGACAGAGGCCTCACCACCACCTGAAGATGTCCACATGCTCATATTCACAACTTTTAATTGGAAGAATCATTTGAACTATTGGGGGTGGGAACATTTCCATCACTTCGTATATGTGATTTGCGCGCCTAATTCCTCAGATTCAGAATTCTATGGTTGCTACCACTTCATTTTCAGTAAAAGATATCTTTTCTCTAATCTAAGGAGTCTAAGTATTTCTTTCTTGAATTTTGAATGGAGCACCACCTGACACATTGATTATAGCAGATTCCTGTAAAGTAGGAGTCTCCAAACTTGGCAACTTGAAGTCTCCTGGACTTCAACTCCCAGAATTCCTCAGCCAGCCAAGCCAGGTTTGGAGACCCCTGCTCTAAAGATAGAAACAGACCCAAAGCCTGAGAGGCCCTGTTGATGGGAGAAATGCAAGTGATGGGGAGAGGGGAGTGAATGATAGCAACTAGGTGGGGTTGGCAAGGCTGGATGGTGGTGGTGGTGGAAATGATGGCATACGAATTGCAGCATCGTGACACAAACTGCTTTTGTTAGGTATGCTGTGACATTGCATTTGTGTACACAAAGGACAGAACTTGCAGCATAATCTCACGGTGCACCCTTTGAGGAAAACTTCGGATTCACCAGATGCTTCTGGCAAGAAGATAGCTATTCTCTGCTCCTCGTGGCAGTCTTTGAGCAGGGGTTGCGTATGGGCATGTGTGCACCCAGCGGCATGTTTGGCCTATGTTAGGGATATACACCCTAGCAGAACCTGCACGGCAGGCAGGCAGGCAGGCAAATATGTGAAATAAACGTTGTTGTAGTTTACACTCAGTAAAACAGATACAATGTGCTAGTTAAATAGTTTATTCCAGTAATAGTTTTAGCATAGTCAAACAGTCCATATATCATACACTATTTCAGTCCGTCCGGGGATTATTCAGTTGCAAAGTCCAGTGTCGAAAAAGAGGTCAGTAAACTTACAAATATCAGTCCAGTAATATATCTCTTCGCAGTAGAGATATGAAGAAGTAAAAACCTCCTTTCTTCCTTCAGCAACAGCAGGAAACACGCAGTTAACAATCCATCATCGTCAGCAAGCAATCCAGTAAGCCAGCAATCAATCAAGTTCTCTTGCTCCCTCTTATGGCGCTTTACAGCCGCACCCAAAATTATATGCTTTGCAGTTAAAGTGACACACACTTAAATTCACTATCATAGTCTATATATATTATTTTACCCAAACTACGTTAGGTAACCTATGTTATTCCTAACAGCCTAGCCCACCAGCTTGCAGTAACGTTAAGCTCCTCGGTGCAGTGTCTATAAGCCTCAATTTACCTTTATGATATTTGGGCTTCATAACCTATGTACTTTTTTTGAATATGAATTCACCCCCTCACCTCCCCAGCAGTAGCCATAGTGCCAACATCATGTTCCCAGAATTCTAAATATATCCAACGGTAAAAAAAAAAAAAAATCCACTCTGTGACTGACATGCACTTAGATATATTGCTTTTTATAAACCTCTACATTATTGATCCAGAAAGGTAGGTGATTTTAGCAATTTCTCCCGCCCCTCCTGACTAAATATGCGTAGTATTAGCTTGGTCCCTTTGCTCACAGTCTATCTGAGCTGGTGAGGTCATTAATAGGAGCACAGCAGATGGCTTGTGAATGTTGCAAGATTCGGACCCCTCTTTCAATGAGCCATGCAGTTTTCTTCCTGTGCTACCGTACCATACCTTGTGGGAATATCTTCCGCTCATCTGGAGTTTTCTCTCCTATGATAACAGTGGTGGATTTTTTTTTGTCCTTTCTGTGCCTCTGCTTCATAGATGTGTGTTTATTGTTTTCTTCCATTTCCTTCAGTAGCTCAGCTTCTGATTTTCGAGGGGGGGGAGAGAGAGCGAGTGAGCAGGAAAAGGATACAATGGTGCTTTAATTGGATGCATTTTAACTGCTGATCTAGTTATAACCCAAGAATATAACAGATGCATTATATGTATGTATGTATTCCATTGTGATCATTCAATGAACTGAGCCTATTTTTCAATCTGGGTAAAAACAATCTTAATAATATTAAGTAGATAATATTAATTTTCCTATTAATAGTGGTTGTATGTCTCTTTTAGGTTTGAGGAAACTGGAAGCATTGTTTGCCTTCCTCATTACTATCATGGCCGTCACGTTTGGATATGAGGTAACACTGCCTTTGTATATATAGATCTTTAAAATGAACAGTATAGGCTTTTGAATCTCTCATAAGCCTTTTCCTGTCTTTTGGGCAAAATATTCCCCCCAAAACAACAACAACAACAACAACAAAACTTGTAGGGAAAACTTTGTACTTCTGTATTTGTGGGGTTTTTTTAGAATGAGACGCTGAGATTTGCCAAGGACACTGCTAATGCCAACGTCTTTTCTTGTTGCTTGTTTGCCTTCTTATGTGTCTTCTGCAGTATGTAACTGTAAAACCAGACCAGGGACAGCTGCTGAAAGGGATGTTTATGCCTTATTGTGAAGGCTGTGGGCCTGCCCAACTAGAGCAAGCTGTTGGGATCGTAGGCGCTGTCATCATGCCTCACAACATGTACCTGCATTCTGCTTTGGTCAAGGTAAGCGTGGGTTTCCTCATGGAAGCTATTCTCACCCACGTCTTCTTTCTGCAATGCCATAGTGCAGAGGTGGGGAACTCTGGCCCCTTTATGACTTGTGGACTTCAACTCCCAGAATTTCTGAGCCACTCATGCTGGCTCAGGAATTCTGGGAGTTGAAGTCCACAAGTCATAAAGGGGCCAGAGTTCCCCACTCCTGCTGCAGTGAAATCACATTCAACATGCATGCCCTTGTTTCTTCTTGGACAAAGGCTGTGTTTTCACCACAGGTGGAAATTCCATGATCGGGTTTTCCTTCAGAATCTCGGCCCATGAAGAGCACTAGATTAGCAGGGAGAAACACCTGGTCTTAAAATTACTCCCTGTATGGCAGAGGTTCCACAAGCATCGTTAATTTAGGTTTGTTTCTAAAGTGAGAGCCAGTTTGGTGTAGTGGTGAAGGTTGGCAGCTGAAATTCAAAGGTGCTGGCCTAAAGACCGGGAGACTGTGAGTTCTGGGCTGCCCTTAGGCATAAAAGCCAGGAAGGTAACTTCAGGCCAATAGCTGTCTCTGAGCCCAACCCTCCTCAGAGAGTTGTTGTTTTGGGAAAAATAGGAGGAGGGGGGAGGAATTAGGTATGTTTGCCACCTTGAGTTACTTCTAAAGTAACAAAGGTAGGGTTAAAAAAAATGTAATAAATAAATAAAGGTAGTTGAAGAGAGAAAGCCTTACTTCAGTGAAGCTGCATTTTGCTGGCTGTGTGAATCGAATTTTTCTGTTTAGTCTCGACAGGTGAATCGGGCCATAAAGAAGGAAGTTAGTGAGGCCAACAAGTATTTCTTCATTGAATCCTGCATTGCCCTCTTTGTCTCCTTCATCATCAACGTCTTTGTTGTCTCAGTCTTTGCAGAAGCTTTTTATAAAAAGACAAACCAAGAAGTGGTGAGTGTTTTCCTTTCTTCCTTCATGTTATATTAGTAAGCAATAAATGCTCCTTATATTGCAAGGATTATTTTAAATGTTTTTTTTAAATATCCTTACTTAACTTTTCATTGCAATTTTAAAAAAAATACATAAAAAACAATAAAGAAAAACAAATTAAAAGTTAAACAGTAATACAGGCGGTCCTCAGGTTACAACCATTTGTTCAGTAACCATTCAAACTTGCAATGACACTGAATGAGGAGGACATAAAATGGGCTCTGGCCATCACCATGTTCCATGGTCATGTAATTAACGATTTCTGACGTTTCTGATAGGGAAGCCAACAGGAAGTTGGAAATTGCAGTCATATGATGTCCTTGCTTAATGATGGCAAGCAGGATTTCTGGAACTTTTATCACTAAGCCATGCAGTCACATGACATCATGTTTCAAGACCACATTGTTTAGTGACAGCAACTCTGGTGCAACCCTAACCTGAGGGGCCTCCCATTCAGAAATTGCAATATTAAAACAAGAAAAGAAAAAATAAAATTAAAGAAACAGAAAAAAAATAAATAGAAAAAATAACATAACAAACTGATATAACTAATTATCCCAAATTCACTTAATCTGTTCATAATATATAAAATTATCCATGAAATTGTCTAGTTTTATAAAATATAATAGAGTTTATGCCAAAGGGTAACATACGATACTATTACGATTTTTGATTGGTAGAAAAAATTAATATGTAACATTTTCAAAGATGATTTACATATTTCTTAAATTCAGTGTTTGATATCCAGTGTAATAATATATTTCCAATTTCTCAGTATCATTCCTTTTGCTATTCCCAATATGCCCAATATAAGCAATATTCTTCAAAAATGTTCAGGTTCCCTAATTTTGGAATATAATACAAAATGTAATTAATCTTTCATTTGAAAAGATTCTCCTATACAGCCACTTCTATAAGTATACCGTCCCCCCCCCCCCAAAAAAAAAGAACATGACCAAATCATATGACTTAGTGTACTTTCCAATTTCTTACATGCTTCTTTCCTTTTCTGCTTAGTTCCTGCTTCCCTTCCTTCCATCCAGCTTTGTTCCTCCATTTTGCCTCTCTTGCTAATGGTGTTATATCTTTTCTTCCTACCATCTGTATCCTGTTTCCTTTTTCATCTTGTTTGTGCTTTCGGTTTAAAAGCGTAGTAGTTTTGCATATATTGTTATGTTTCCATGTGATTACCGGATTTGTATGTGAACCTCAGCTTCTCTTCCCCTGCTTTTAGAAAGGGAGAGTTAGTGGAGAGAATTAAACCACTACAGCAAGTACCAAGGATCATAGAATAGAACCCCCAGTAGGATTAACAGCTCCATGTAACCAAGACAGGATGCTTTACAATAAATAAAAAGCAATACAATTGGTGGTGGAAACAAGTCATCTGTCAAATGCTCTTTGTCTCCCCTTTCCCCTTGCTTGGAAGGTAGCACCTGTCATACTCCCTTTTGGGCTGGTCTTTCAAAACCAAGGAACAGACAAAAGAGCTTGAGGCTATACTGCAAGGACAGCTTCTTGTATGTTTCAAGTTTCCTTCAATGCCAGCAGTCCCCCCCTGCCCACTCCTCCTCCTCCTCCTCCTCCTCCTCCTCCTCCTCCTCCTCCCCCTCCTCCTCCTCCTCCTCCTCCTTACAGGAGGGAAAGGTCAATGTAAGCCAGAATTCTTCTTGGTTGTTATTATTTTAAAACACTGTTTTGTGCCACATGGGTCTTTTAGTTTTAAAACAAAATGTCTACTTATATGTTTACAGCATGACATCTGTGCAAATAAAAGCTTTGCCCAAGCTGTGGTGTTTCAGTCAGATAATAGCACCATAGATGTGGATATCTACAAAGGGGTGAGTGAAAAGCTTTATATATTCAATTTAGCAAGAGTTAAAGATCCATATGTAATGCTCTTGAATCTCCGAATCAGCCTTTGAATATCCTAAAGGTATTTCTAAAACTTCTAAAACAGAGTAAATGGGAAGATGAAACAGAACTGTGAAAAGATCACAAGCTCTTCCAGTTCTGCCTTCTTTAGCACTCAAAATATCAAAGCAACCGAACCAAAAAGAAGTTCTATCAGGAAACAAACATCTGCAAAATAAAATAGCTCCAGATGTTTCAGAACCAAAATTAGCACTTTAGCAGTTATTTGCCTTCCAGATATCTCTCTCAAGATCAAGAAAATATTTTTCAGGCATAAGACAGTTGTGAGCCTTCTCTCCCTAACATTGCTCATATTCTGCAAAAGGCCATTCTCTACTAAGGTTATTTTGTTAGATTTTTCTACCCAGAGGAGCAATGTAATTACCTGGGATGGGTTTATGAGCAAAGTGTTCTTCTTGGCCATGATATTTTTGGAAAATAAGCATGTGCACAGTAACTATAGCATTCAGATGCAAGTGTCTCTGAGTAAATTGGCCCTTGCTAATCCAAGCAGTGATTTCGTAAAATGTCACTTTGTGTTAGACTGCTGACATAGAAAGCTTAATCTAAAGTGTACAACTTCATTTTTTAAAAGAACTCTTTTGTGTTTTAGGGAGTAATTCTAGGTTGTTACTTTGGCCCTGCTGCTCTCTACATCTGGGCTATTGGCATCCTTGCTGCAGGACAGAGTTCAACAATGACAGGAACTTACTCTGGACAGTTTGTTATGGAGGTATTTTAATCTTTTAAAATCTTGTGGATTTACATTTGACTTGCCTTCCTAATCTATATCTCGATAGGTTCTGCAAATTAAAGTGATAGGAATCTAAAGATGCTGTCCGTGTGGCTCAGTTCCCAGATGCCACAGCTAGGTATCTGGGAACCAGGTGGCACGGACACTTTCTTTGTGAGAAAAATTGTATGCTGACATTTTCCCCTTTCAGCCGGCAGTTCATTAGATCCTTAAGCAATGCATTTATCCTGTTGTGGTGTCTTGTTTTATAAACATATTTTTATATAGCGACCAAGTGATACTGAAAACTATCATTGTTAAACTGAAGCAAAGAAATAGAGATGATTGACTTCAGAAGGATTGGGAGTCTGTCTGTTAGATTTGCAGACCATAGGATTTTATTTCTAAAAGGGGCTTCAGTGTGTGTCAGACTGGAGGGAGCATCTGACTGTAGTTCCTTCAAAAGCTAATTGTGCAAAACTAGGAGAAGATACAGCTGCTTCAAAGGGCTGTCCACGGATGCTACCTCCATGTTCCCAACCACTCAAAAGAACCTTTGGAAATGGAATCCATAATGCTATTTGGCCCTATATTTGGGGAATGGGGCTGGATGAGGGATATATTTTCAGGCAATTAAAGGAACCCATCCTGTGTAAAATGCTCTCTTTATATTAATCTGTGAATGAAATGCCATTCAAGTGTTTTCCTTATGATACCAGTTAGGCTGCCATTCATCAAATCTCTTTGCCTTTGTATGAGCTCAATTGTTCATAGGGTTCCCAAAGTCTTCAACCTACCATTTCCCTGGTCTGTGCCTTCTTCTCTTCTGGTGACATGTGAAGTTGTCAATCCAAAGCAAGCTGTCCACTTTTAGTTTTTGTAATTAAATTGATCAATTTGGAATTAAATTTGCAAAGAATTTCCGTAATTAAAACAGAATAAATTGAGTACTTTACAAATAAGGAGGGCCCAGACTTAGTGGTAGAATGGTTTTGTTTGTCGATCTGATCAGCAGCAAAGGCAGATAAGACTGTGGGGAAATCCCACTAAAATCCTCCAAAGCTGCTATTTGCCAATGCTGACAGCTCTGGTAGACCAAAGGCCTGAGTCAGAAGAAGACCATTTCCTACAATCCTGAATTTCTATTTTGTTAGGTTGGAACAGTCACACACAACTAAATTTCTTTATACCTTGGTTAAACCACTGATAAGTGATCAAGTACACCATCTGGCTTTGATATAGTGTCCAATAAATTGAAAGTATTTAATATGATTTAAGGACAGGTTTCCATTCTTCATAACACAAAAAACCTCTCAAAGTAGGTTAGGATTAGATAATATATATAAAATGATCTTGGTACCTTTGCCATTGGACAGAAGGTAGGGTTGATTCCATGCAATTTATTACTGTGAAAACAAGCTTCCGTAACTTTATTTGCTGATGAATCATGAGTCTCATTAGAGATCTGCAAAAAATATCTATCTGGAAATAGATCATTCTGGAGAACTCTAAAATGTTCCTCTTTTCTCTGCTGAACCCCCTTCCGGTTTCCAGGAGTGATTTGAGGGTTTCCAGAAGGAAGTCCTTAGTACTGGAAGAGTTTTGGATGAAACAAAATGGGTTTTAGGACCAGATCCAATTACTTTTAGTTTAGAAAATTTACTTCTGGACACTATCAAATACCTCCTAGGACCTAGATCCAGGGGGAGAGTGAGCATAATATCAAAGAAAACATTCCAAAGTTATTCAGAACATTCAATTCCTGGGTTGGAGAATTTTGCATATCCCTAGCTTTCATGTGTTCAGGCCATATTATCTAACCCAACATTGTTTAGAATAAGCTGTGCTTTAAATTTGATTACTGAAAAAAATGCAGGAAAAAATGTGGCAGCTGCATCTTTTCCCAGATTTCCCAGCAACTGCAGAGAGCTCTGAAGTGTTGGACAACAGTACATTTTGTGTTCTCAGACCAATTCATTTGACAACCGCAAATAGCTGCTTTAGGCAGAATAAGGCTTGTCTGGACCTTTACCAAGAACAGATTGATTTGAATATACTGTATATTTTATCTAACTTTCTTTGTCTTACTCTGATCCTATTTTACCTCAGTGTTAGTTTATAAATTTAATTCTACTAGTTTACTCTGGTCTGATCAATAGTTTTAGAAGTAGTTTGACTGCAGAAAGTAAAAGAGTTTGTGAAATTTATAGGCAGGCATGTTTTTTATCCCAGAAAGATACTACTTTTCTTCAGTATTTTAGTACACTTGTATCTCTGATTGAATGGTTCTGATTTCTTCCTTGTTTTCAGGGATTCCTCAATCTGAAGTGGTCGCGGTTTGCTCGTGTGGTTCTAACCCGCTCCATTGCCATCACGCCAACTCTTCTGGTTGCTATTTTCAAAGATGTGGAACACTTGACTGGAATGAATGACTTTCTCAATGTCCTCATGAGTTTACAGGTAGGGGCTCTAATTAGGTGTGTCCCAAAGGTAATTTTTTTTCTTTTTCTTTTTTTAAAAATTTATTTGGGTTTTCACCAAAAAAAAAAATCCATAATACAAATAAAACATCTTTTTTTGTGAATAGCATGATCACGGGTTATCACTTCTTCATACAGACACAAACTCAATTTCATGTTCATCTTTGTGTTCTATTCCATGTCTTATTACTGTTTAACATTTTCTGCATAGTTTTTCCCCTCCTTTGATTTTCTGAACTTTATTTTTAATTATCTCTTATCTCAGTTCAAATCATTATATTTGTACTTTTGTCTGTCCTGTTTCAATTTCATATTATCTTTTCTTATTAAACAAATTTTCCCCTGTAGTTACTAATGGGAGTATGACACCTTTATATCTTTTAATTTTGTCCATTCAACTCATTTAAACTTCAATTTATACCTTTAAGATTATAACATTCAATATAGTACATAGCTTCCAATTGAATTCTGCTTGGTACATTCTTAAAATACACACTATATCCTTAAAAAATTATATATATGTGTAAATCACTCATTCCATTCCAATTCAATTCTATCGTTAATATTCATTAAAATCTTAACATCTTTTTCTTTTCAATTGAATATCATACTTCCTTGTGAACACTAATAAACTTTCCATAATGAATTCTTTTTTTTACATATTTCTCTTTATTTATATTTTTATAAATCATTAATAATAATTAAGATGTTCCCATCCTTTACTAATTTCATTCTCTTATTCATTTTCTTTCATTTATTTATTAACAAACATTCCACTATATTACAATAAATATTTTATCCATCATTTTATCCACGTTCCACTATATTACAATAAATATTTTATCCATCATTTTAGTCATATTTTCTGAAATTGTTTCTATTTCTAATATAATACTATCTTATGTACCTTTGCTGAATCCCTTTTCAATTAAATTTTCACCCATTATATCTAAACAGGCTTACACTTTCAATCCTTATACCTTTTCCCTGTTTCTCTATATCTTGTTTCTGTCTTTTATAACTTCTTTTCTTTTCCTTCTTCCCCCTCTTCTTCTCCCTCCCCTTTTTACCCCCTTGTCTCTCTACTTCTAATTCTCTCTTCTGTAATCCCCTCTTCTGTTGCTTTCTAATATTGTAATTATTTTTCAAACTATTCTTTTTTTTGGTTGTTTTTTCAAATCTTAAACTTTTCACTCTCTTTCCCCCCTTTCCTTCCCCCCCCCCCACATAAAATTACTTGATCATTAAAGATGGCTTCTTCTTTGTCCAGATCTTCTTGTTCTACAAGCGTTTCTTGTTGTTTCTCATAGTTCCGGATCTCCATTTCTAAAAATTGAAATACGAAGCCAAAAGAACCTCTCCCTTCTTGTGCATCTTCTTTCTGTTTTTTAAGTTCCATTTTCAGTTCTTCTAAAAGAGATGCCATTTTAAACACTTTTAAACAACCACCCAATTGATTTAATTCATTTAAATGCAATAGCCAAAGATCCAAAAATCACCAAATAATCCAAATAATCCAAAACTATTTCTTCTTGCTTCTTTTTTTCCACTTTCTCTTCCTGGGGTTTTATTATTTTGTTACAAGGTTTCAGTTGGAATGTATCTTAAATCTTGTTAAGGTTTCACTGTAAATTCCTTTTCGTTCCAGGCAGTCTCCTCCATTTTTCCAGATCCTGCCCTTTTATTCTTTTTTTCTCCTTTCCTGCTTTTAAAAGTTTTTAAATATCCAAAAATCTTTATTATCCCTTTGACATTTTATTTTCAGCTGAAATGCCTATTAATGTCAAAGTGGATTTTTGTCAATGTCTTACTTAAGTCTCTTAGCTATCAGTATAAGGAAGGGAGGAGGAAAAAAAAGCCAAATCCTTTCCCTTTCCTCTCTCCTTCGCCACTTCAAAGTCTTCTTTGGGAACAATGTTATTTTTATAGTTTAAATTTCAGGGTACTTTATGTTGTTGCTTTTTCAGTTTAACCCGGTCAACTAAAACTTTCTCTTCTTATCTTCCTCCTGCACTTTCTTTTCCGGTCGAGTCCTTCTTTGAGGTGGCCATTTCTGACCACCGCTGCAACCGCCTTCGGGAAAGGGAGTCTCCCCCCTCTTCACCACCTCTACAGGGTGGCTTAGCCCCGAAACCAGCCAGCTTGGGGCGCTCCGGTGGTGAGCACGGATCGAAAACGCCGAAGGAGCTCAAACCAGACGTACTGTGATTTTTTTTTTCAAGAGGCAACTGTACTTTCTGGTTTTTCTTTGAAGACCTTTCACTTCTCATCTAAGAAGCTTCTTCTACTTAGTGTTTCTTTTTAGAGCTTCTTGGATGAAAAGCAAAATGTCTTCAAAGAAAAACTAGAAGGTCCAGTTGCCTCTTGAAAAAGCATCTTTGGGACAAACATGACCTGGATGACAAAGAATCTCCATAGACATCTAATTAAGCATGGTTCTTTTCCCCAGAAAAAACAACAGTAGAAGTTTCATCTGGGCAGCAAGGCAGAGTGTAGATCTAATAGCACAATTTGCAAAATTGATATAAATAAAAAATAATAACTACTACAGGTAGTCCTCAAGATACGACCACAACTGAGCCCCAAATTTGCTAAGCAAAACATTTGTTAAGAGAGTTTTGCCCCATTTTATGACTTTTCTTGCCACAGTTGTTAAATGAATCACTGCAGTTGGTAAACTAGTAACATGGTTTTTAAGTGAAACTGGTTTACCCCATTGATTTTGCTGGTCAGAAGGTGATCACATAAAGGTGATCACATGACCCCAGGACACTGCAACCATCATAAATATGAGTCAGTTGCCAATATTGGAATTTTGATCATGTGACCATGGGGATGCTGCAATGGTCATAAATGTGAAAAGCTTTCATAAGTGACTTTTTAAGTGACATAACTTTGAACGGTCACTAAATGAACTGTTGTAAGGTGAGGACTACCTGTACTGTCAAATCCACTGCAGGATGTTTGGCACGTAAATGCAAACATGTTGAGACAGCCTAACAATACCAGCCTAATTTTTTTCCTGCATGGAAACAAGGAATGAGTGAATAAAAACATTCAGTGATATTAGAAACAGCAACAAAAAAACCTCACTTAAAATGAATAGCTGACCAAAACAACTTTACTGAAAAGCTCCTGAAAATCCTATTTTTGGTCACTTAAGGATTAAAGTCTTTATGGCATGCAATCATATATTTGAGGGGTCCTTGGTGCTCTCTGGGCTTGGTTGTTTTCTTACAGACTTTTCATTACCTAAACTAAGTAACATAATCAACTAGAATTGATTAGCACTGATGATGTTACCTAATTTGGGTAATGAAATGTCTGCAAGGAAAAAAAAAACTAAGCTCAGAGGGACCCTTTATTTAAACTCCTGAGCCACAAATATTTTCCTTTAAGGGGATATTTTACATGGCTTCTATTATTGTTCTTGACATTTCTCTCCAGAATTATGTTAGAAAGTTTATCTAAGCTTATCCAGGACTATGGTTCTGTTTTCTTGGGCTCATAGCTGGAAGGGATTTGGATCCCTAGAGAATCCACCTCACATTGATTTTATTTACATCAGGGCTACATTATGTGAAGCAGAGAGTTCATTTTATTATTTTGTGAACTAGGAAGGTTTTTTTCCCCCCTCAGGGACAGCTGCTACCTTTTGCAGATTAGAACTAAGAAATGATATGGGAAAGTGCAAGACAAAAAACACTAGGATTGGTCTATGCTGACTTATAGCCTTGCATGCTACAATTAGAGCATTCTGTTGTAGCTGTTCTTTTGTTAAGAAGAGGACTTTTATTCAAATGAAACTAATAAATCAGTGAATATGCAGTTAATTCTTAATAACTAATTAAATTTGATGAATCAAGAACATTTGGACCCTCCTTAAGCATAGAATATATCAGCTGCAAGTGAAAATGTCTTTTCAGTGGTTTGGGAATTATCAACACTAATCATAAGAGGTTGGATGTCCTGTGGTGCAATAAGGCCTGTGAATAGCCTAATGTGCCAAATCAAAGCTAGATCTTACTTGTGAATCATTCCAGCTGAATTTCTGTTCTTTATGCCTGCCTTTTCTAAAGCAATAAAGAATAACTACGGCAAATCCGGTTATCTTCCTTTCCCCTGCAATTTTCTCAAATGTTTATTTCCCAGTCGGAAGCTTTCCCAACATGTAATTTTGAAGCCACTTAATACTCTCACTTCATTATCCATTCTCTGCTTTTATGTTCTCCTTTGCTTGGGTGTAGAAGCATACAATACTGAATATCTGATTCATATTCAAAATCTGGAGCTACAGCCATTCTCCTGAAGATTTGGAATGACGGGAAGAGAGGGAGGGAGAGAGAGAGAGAGAGAGAGAGAGAGTGCTAGCTCTTATTATCTGACTGGGGAGTGCTAGGCTTACCAGATTGGAGTTATACTGCCTTTATTGCTAAATGTTTTTCCTAACATATACCCTTCTGTAACTTAAAAACGATTAGATCCAATCCTCTTTCTGAATTGTTATGTTGAAAATACCTGCCTAATTGGAAACTAGGTAATTCTGCTATCATTTCTCTTTTCCCTTCTTCTGTTCCCCATTGTCTGAGGTGAACAAAGCATGGCAGAAGGGTTAATCTTGGAAAGAGCTTCGAAACCTTGGAAAGAGCTATAGGATGAATTGTTTACACTTGGATGCCATCTACGTGCCACAGTCGCCTATATTCAGCCATCTAGTTTTATGGGGGCCTCAGTGTAAAAGAACAATAGTGCTTCTGCTGTTCAGTTCTTAGAACATGCTATGTTCAGCCCAGAAAAATCTTCAGCAGTTAATGAGAGAAAAAGTTTGGAGTGAATAAATCGTGTTTTGGAACTGCTTTCAGCTTTTTGCATTAAATAGTTCACTATTAAACCAGCTTTTTCTTTCTGCACAGATAACAAAAAGATCGCTTTCTGAGCATAATTTCCTTTTCTTCCTTTCCAGCTGCCCTTTGCTTTAATCCCAGTGCTCACTTTTACTAGTCTGCGTCCAGTGATGAATGACTTTGCCAATGGCCTGTAAGTATGAAGAAAGGCACACATCTGGAATGTATCAAGTATTATACTTGATTAAGCTTATCTGTTTCTGACTTTTTGCCATTGTCACCATGTAACAGCACGGCCTGCTTTATACCTAATGACCACCTATGTTTTTAGCACATTGTGTCCGGTCTATGAGATAGACCAGACTTAAAAGTCATAATTATTTAAACCGCTTTTATTACGGTAGTGGAATCTTGCAACTCTGAATGTGCCTCCCTTCCCCTCCCACCACCAGCACTTTATCCTAAATAGAACTAGGGACGGTAAAGTCTGAGATGTTTTCTCAAATTACATTCCCGTTTTGGAGGTAGATTTCTCTTATCTGACCATTGTTTTTGTCAGGGGATTGCCCACCAGGTGTCCGAATAAAGTAATTAGAAGCTGACATGAACTTGTTGTTTTATGTAGAGAAATATATTTCACATCAATATTTTACATCAGTCGATAGTCAGGCAAAGAGGAGCATTGTGAGGTAACTCAACACAGCAGGAACATTATGAGGTAAATTACAGGTCCCTCATAACACACAGAGGAAAAAAGCGGGAAATCAGGAAACTCCCCCTTTACACTCACAGTAACCAATCGCATTATAGATTGCCTCATCAGGAGACAGCACTCTCCAGCCAATCAGCTATAAGGGTTTGTTCTGCCTCATTGTACAACTCCCCTGTTCCAGCTACTAAATTTAAATATTTTAACAATTTTAGCAAGGCTCTTCCTTCTATTCCTTAAGGTTATTTTCACAGCCCATTACACATTGAGTGTACTTCCTTTTAGTTTTTCTATCTGCCAATGGCAGAATAGAGTTTGTATTATGTATAACCAGCTTGAACACCAGAATCTCTTCATTTCCAATTATTTTTCAAAAGATAAAATCTAGACTAGCAGATCATACACTAGCACAAAATCTGCAGACCAATGCTTCTTCTTTTTCAGGGTAAATATTACCCCAAATCTGCACTTGGGTATAAATTTTATGACTTTTTGCAGATTGGCAATTGACATGCAGTATTTCTAGATTTACGATATAAACATCTTAGAGGATCAAAATACCCTTCAGTAACAAAAGAAAAATTTGAATCTTTGCCTAACTAGCTAGCTGATGTCTAATATATAGAAAGATATATTTTCACATTTTTTATACAGTGTTGCTTATTCTTTGCCAAAGGTTGCATTAATTTCCTATTGTAACCATTGCAGAGTTTTAATCCATAGACTTCTAAGTTATTCAGAATAAATCAAGAAATGGGAAATCTGAAGGTCACATGAAGCCTTCTGTATCACATTTGCAGCCCACAAAGCACTGGTTTCAGCAGTTTTATTTATTGCTTGTTTATTTTGCAAACATTGGCTAAAAAAACGGGAGTGCAAGATTCCTGGGAGATGAAATCCCAAATGACAGTGCCATTTGTTTAGCATGTATGAGGACTTGATCTGTGTCCAAGGTTGGAAGACCAGAAAATGAATATATCAAAATCTAGACAGCTGTGTTTGTCAGGGGAAATGTACTGAATGATTGAAGGTTTATAACTAAAACGTTGAAAAAAAAAATCAAAGCAAAAAGTTGTCTTTGGGTACATTTTTTAAAGATAGGGAAATGTTTGAAGAGGTTTTAAGACCTAGTAGTAAAGTAATGGCTTTTAGCCATTGTAGTATGTCGTACGGTTCAAATAATGAGGTTTTATTTTTGTCTGCCATGCTGTGTGGAAGTGAGAGATGGACAATTGAAATCCAGTGGGAAATTAAATTGTAAATGTGTCCTTATCCACAGTTAGTCCTAAGTAGTTATTCCTGATCCATTTTTTTCTTTGTGTGTTTTGTTTTGTTTTGGTCTTCTAGGGGCTGGAAAATCGCTGGGGGAATTCTCATTGTGATCATCCTCAGCATTAACATGTACTTTGTGGCGATCTATGTGACTGCCCTAGGACAAACAGTGTTATATGTATGTGCTTCAATTATCAGCGTTCTCTACTTAGCCTTCGTGGCATATCTGGTGAGTTAGTGATGGCTTACATGTTCTGCTTTCCTCACAGGCATTTTCCATGTTCTTTTAGCAGTGATATCTGCAGATTAATTTTTTAAAAAACACAAAACAAAACAAATAAAGGCAGTGGTCAGACTGGAGGCTATTTTTTAAGTCACATTACATGGTACAGTTACCATATACTCCTACTTTCTTCCTCCAGCACTTGCTGTCTTAGATTCCAGCCACCCCAGGTCATAGGACAGTAGAACAGTCCTTTGATAAGGCCATTTTAAAATGGCATTTGGTTTCTCACAGTGGCCAGCCAGATTGGAACCAACATCCAGCGGAGGTAGTGGGGCGATAGCAATAGCATTTAAACTTATACTGCTTCACAGTACTTTACAGCCCTCTCTAAGCGGTTTACAAGAGTCAGCATGTTGCCCCTAATAATCTGGGTCCTCATTTTACCCACCTCAGAAGGAGGGAAGGCTGAGTCAACCTTGAGCCAGCCAGGATCAACTGGTGAACTGCTGGCAGCCAGCAGTCAGCAGAAGTAGCCCGCAGTACTGCATTCTAACCGCTGCGCCACCACAGCTCAGTCATCAGTAACTGAGTTTAAACATGCTTGGAATAAACACATGTCTATCATCATAGAATAGAAAAGAAAAAGAAAAGAAAAGAAAAACAAAATATTCAAATGGCAGACTCAGTAGACCACTGGGTCTTTTTCTGATATCAGTTTTCTATGTTTCTGTGTTACTTGCCAGATTACCACTGCCCTGCTGTGGTCCTCTGCCATTGGTATATGGAGTCATATTGTCTCCACTCCAGAAGTTACATAGAGTAACAGCAACCCTGGTAGACCTGTACTCCATGAATTCATTCAGTCCTGTTGTAAAGTCAAATTAGTGATCACCACTATATCCTACATCTTGTGACAATGAATTCCATACGTTAACAATGCATTCCTTTTTTCTGTTTTAGCTGTTCTTTCAATCAGTTTCATTAGAAGACACTTATGTTCTGAGAGAGGGAATAACAATTACCTTGCCATTTTTTTCATAACATGATTAAACTCAATCATCTCTTCTGTCACCTAATTTTGAAGCAAAAAAGCCCCAAACAATCCACTCTTTTCCAAAAAGGCATTTGTTGGAGTCCCCCGATTCTACACTTTTTCTAGCTCAAATCCTTTTTTTAAAAAAATGATGCGCAGAACTTTACCCAGTATTCCAGATACTTTTGTATAAGGATATTACACATGTTGACAATTTTATTTCCCTAATGAACACAAGTACGAAATATGTCTGTTTTTAACAGCTGTTGCTCATTGAATGGTCGACTTGAGCCATCTGCTGTGACTCCAAAGTAGCTACAGGCAGCTTAGTTCCATCAGTGGTTGTGTGCAATTGAGGCGGGATTTTTCTTTTTAATATAAAATTTATTGGGGCTCATCTTACCACAGGGTAGCTCTGGGCAGGTATCTGAATGTGTATCATTTTACACTTATGTCAAGTTAACCACATTTTCCATTTGGTTGTCTGTTCACTTAGTCTACAAAGAATCTTTTGAAGTTCTTAGTCAGAGTCAGGTATGGATAGATATTGCATCCAACCCTTCTAAAGGATAGCAATTTTCGAATAATGCACTGGGGCAGGGCCCCCAACCTGTGGGTGGCAGCCCGGTAACAGGCTGCAGCCTAATCGCCATTGCAATTAGGCCCCACTTGCACAAGCATCATCGCAGGCAATCGCGGCCCCACTCACGAAAACATTGCCACAAATGTTGTGAGCCCTTGCGGCACCACTCATGTGAGGAGTGTTGCGGGCACTCACAGGCCCCTCTTCCTTCCCCCAGTTCCACGCCGCCAACCGAAAAAGGTTGGGGAACTCTGCACTAAGGAAATGCTGGTTTTCTGTCACACTCCAATATAAGTCTGATCACATTTTAATTATGTCAGCTTAAAGGTACTTTTCTACTTATTCCTCTTTTCACAAACATATATTCACTAGAGGAAATAAGCTAGAATTGTGCAAAGTGTGAGAAGATAAGGCAGCACATGTACTTCTAGGAAAAAATGGCTGTGTTAGAAACATTGTTCCTTTTAGAAATAATGCAATGGCCTTATGTGAACAACCTCTAAACCCCATTCCGGGCATTCGTCTTGTCAAGTGTTTCAGAAGAAACAGCCAGGATGTGGCTTTGTAGGGACAGGGAGGGAGCCATACAATTTAGAGCCAGTTCTCTGTAACATCAACTGAAATGTATGGGTTTATCGCACAAGCTGAAATTGTGAAGCAACCTCTCTTGCTTGCTCCCCCTCCTCCTCCATGTTTCTCACTCCTGGTGGTATATACCCATAACAAACAAAATAAGGATCAAAGAAGCAGTTCGGTTGTAATTGTCAGCCTAGAAACTCAAGAAAATCCAGTGGAATCATGAACAAGGGATAAACATTCTTGGTTAGAATAACTAGGAATGTCACCTAGTTAATATTGTCTGATCGCCTAATCACAGTTTGAGTGCTCAGTGATCACCCTGCAGTTATAACATTGCATCATCATCATGTGCCCTTTCTTGACAGCTTCCCACAAGCAAAGTCAGTGAAGAAGCCAACAGGAAGTCAGAAATCATGGTGATGTGGGGTCCTTGCTTAACAATGGCAGCTGGTACTGCTGGAGCTGCCATTGCTAAGCAGTGTTGTTGCATGACATCATGCTTAATGACCACACTGCTTGGTGCTGGAGTTTCTATTCCAATTACTATTGTTAATCAAGGACTACCAGTAGTACAGTAGAAGTCTTTTGAGAAGAACTATCTTGCGAGGTCAAAGCAGAGCCTCCATTTAGCCTACCATTTGTTTTACTTGGGCCAGGCACGTGACCTTCCAGAAAGCTTACAGCTTGGAAATGAAGACAGCTGGTGTCCAACAAAAGCACATGCTTGGAGAAAAGGAAACAGCTTAGGAGATATCCAAAACTTCAGGGCAGGGTTGAGAAATCTGTAGCTTGGCAAATAAAGCTTAATTACAACTCCTAGCATTGTACTCTGACTAGAGTAAGATTTATCCATCAGCATGTGGAACACCAGAGGCCTGCTTTGTTTAATGACTGTAATATTCATGTGTATTAAACTTGATTAAAAATAGTTTTTAACCATTTGTATGAGTTCATTCACAATCAGAGAGCTACTTATCCGTATGGTTGACTAGGAAATTGGTAGGAATAAAAAACATTATTTATAGATGATGATTTTTAGATTTGCAGCTGGTAGGAAAAACCTTCCTAGGGTAGACAGGGAGAGCATAAAAATCTTCCCAGGGAACGTAGGGTGAAATAATTAGATCAGGTTTGTTTCTTGACATGCATATATAGCAAGTGCTGCAAAGTAAGTGCTTTGTTTTTGTTTTTTTTCTGACAATGTTCTTCTCCTTGACCAGAATCAGAATTATGTGTCATCTCTGGCTCATATTTTAAAACCTGTCTGTTGACACTTCTCTCTGAAATGACTTTGGGAGGGGAGACGGAGCAGAATCTGAGGGACGGTGGGGCTTCATAGAACAGAGCAGGAGGAGGGATAATGGTGGTGCTTCTCTGATTTGCTTGAAGGGAAAAAGTCTTTTGAGTCTTTTAATAAATGCATCATTAACTTGGGATTCTTCTCTCTTTTTCAGAGTTGGCAGTGCTTAATTGCTCTCGGAGTTTCCTTCCTGGCTTGTGGGCATACGGTAAGAGTCACAAGAACTTTGCTAACTGAAGATCCGCCTTCAGAGGCAGTTAATTAATTACTGTGTCTACTGCAGAACAAGTAGCCATCAGGGCCAGTGCGTTTCTATGGTTTACTTTGTAAACATATCCAAATGTATGTGCAATTTTGCACAGTGTTAAAATTGTGATAATGGTGTTTAAAAATTATTGGATGTATATGAGAAAAGCTTATGTGTATTTTTCCTTGTTAATCCCCAACAATCACACTCGGGATAAAAATAGATTATCTTAGTACTGCATTAGTTCTCAATGGAGATCTCTCTGTATGCTGCTGAAAGCTACGATACGATATAATTTAACCAAGAAGCTAATAGTCCACTCCAGTTGAGACTTACCAAATTAATGTTAATAAACCTAATGGCATAAAATTACATTTCATAAATTACCCTTTAATAGAATATTGCTAACATCTGTAGTTGGAATACAGATATCTAAGCATGCTAGTTAAAAGTTCTTTGGAGCTCAGGAATGCATCTTTGTCCACACTCTGTGCTTCAAGCCACAAATAAATTTCTGTAGAAGCAATAAAGCTATGGGTGGGAGAAGAATCTGCCTGGCTTAAAAAAAAAGAGGGGGGGGGGACCCCTCCTTAAATCCTAATCATTGTCAAGCTTGTTTTCTATATGTCAGGGCAGTATTCAGACCTAGAGTAAAAACCTTTTTCTGTGATGCTGGGTAAATCACTATCCGTGAATGAAGAGGAGCTAGAATCTGGGGGCAAATATCCCATCTAATTAATTGATACCCATAGACCACTCCTTTCAGTTGATCATATAAATAGGCAAAGTTGGAAATGTCTTCCCATACCAAGCGGCCTCTGTGCCAACAAAAAGCTCTCTGTGATGCCAGGCTGAGCTGTTTCCCAGTTAAGGTGCAGGCATTGCAAAAATAACCAATGACTTACGAAAAGTGGATAGATGGCCAGACTCTTTAAGTATCAGAGTCAAAACCAGGAAGACCTGCATGATTATAATGGAAGAGATGAAGCCTAGTCATTAACTGCAGAGAGACTGCTTGCTCATAAGATCAAGATCCACATTTAGAACAGAAAAATTATATTCAGTACTTACAAATATTTTCCGTTGGTTTTTTTTTTGTGTGCTTAATCCTCATTTGCTCAAACAAGATAGTATTTGTATTTCCTGCCATTCTTTATGGCAGGCATGTTTATATTAAGGAACAATTTCTGGCTGTCAAATTACTTATCTATGAGAATATGAACATTTTCCTTTAGCCAGAAATGTTTCCCGGCATGAAATATTAAATAAGCACCCATTTTAAAAGCATATGCTCAGCTAAGAATGTGACTGTGTGTTATAATTGGCTTTATTTTGCTCCCTCTGTCATTTTCACTAATGATTTACCTACATTTCTGTTGGCTGCCCCATTCGTCAAACAAAGCATTGCAAAATCTTTCCTGATATCTTAACAGTGCTCTCAGGGAAGGGATAAATATCAAGAGAGAGAGAGAGATCATATTAAGAACCAAGAACATTTCATTCCTGAGTTTTTGGTCAAGATGGAGGGCAAACAGCTTTTAATCCATGTATATATTTTTCCCTAATGGTCTTGTTTAAAGATCTTACTGTCTTACTTACTTAAGCTTGTGCAGTCTTCCCTATCAGGCCTGTATAAGATGTGTCGGGCTACAACCCCAGAATTCCCAGTCTTTGCAACCAGTAAGCGTGATAACAAAGAATTCTGGGATTTGTAGTACTATCACGTGAGAGCAGCCAAATGAGAAAGAACAGGATTTTCCTGCTACTATTTGAGCAGAACCTCCTTCATAAAGTACAATACACTTTAAAAAGAAGGTCCTTCCCGAGTCTGAATGGAGGGGGTTGAGTCTTTAAGAGTCGCATTGAGCAATAATTCAGCCTAAGCCAGCCTGACACTATACAGCTTCTAACTTCCCCATCGCATCTGGAAGGCAAAGGTTGGCGAAGACTTGCTTGCAAATAATACTACTGATGTCCAAATACAACCTTGCGATGAAATTAATGTTTACTTGTTTACTTTGCTACAGTTGAGGTGGAGGTACTAACTTTTTGAAATGTATGTTGTTAATTGTGTTTCAAATTGTGAAGAAATTCTTAAATTCAGATGTTAATTGATTTGAACAACATGCTCCTTATGCATATTATAATACTAACTACTATTCTTGACTAAAGAAAGACTCATTATGGTATAATAGTCAGAACTGAATGAAGTGTGTAAGTAAAATATCCTCCCTTAGACACTGTTTCAGCCAGCTGTCCCATTTACCATCAACACTAAGAGGTTTATGTTTGTATTTTTCCACTTTTTAAAAATATTTATGATAAATCTTGGGATGACTAATGCATTTTAGCAAGGTTAATTTTTCTTTGTTACTAAAAATTGGACTGCTCGGGGTTTGGGTTAAAACTACATTATGTTTACTTTGTATAGATTTAAAAGAGGTGATTTATCGTTTTCCAAGTATTTATAAGTTTGAAAAGATTACTCAGGCTGATTTGTAACTTTTTATCAGAATTATCCCAGGTTTCTGATCAGTCTATGTCGAAAGTTACCTAGTTAAATGAACTGAAGTTCTATTAAAACTCTAAGCTGCTTAACCTTGAATTAAGCAGAGTTCCTGAAATAGTAACTACATAGTCATTCTGTTGGCTTCAATGGGAACAGACTCCTAAACAGAGAATCTCCTAGCTGACCATAGCATTTCTTATTAATGATGTTTTTCAGTTGGAAGGATGCAAATGTAGGAGATCTGTAGGCTTGATTTGTCAGTTTGCATGTTGAGTCTGTGGGAAGAATTTACCCTGTTCAAATATCAAAACGGCTATACTTATAAAATTTTGGGTCACACATTGACTGCTGGGGAGGGGGAATCTTTGCCTGAAAGAGGTAAAATTGGATACACAAAGCTTTCAATAGAATTAACTGGAATCATTCCACAACTCCGGGTTGGGACTTAGAGGCGATAAAGTAGACTACTTTGTGTGGATGGGACCCTCTGAAACAAATCTATCCTTCTGCCAAACATATCTAAATTAAAACAGTGATTGCACAACATTTCCCATCCACTTTACAATTTACTTTCCTAGTTGGTGAGTGGTTGTTCCTGTTCTGTGGTTTTTTTGTTTTTTGTTCCTGTTCTGTTGTTCCTGTTTTGTTTTTTTAAAGAAATGCTCATGCAACAACAAAGTTCATAGAGTTCATAGTTTGATGAGATAATTCCTACTCAGCAAGGGATTATTACCTCTACTCACTAGAAAGGAGTTTATGCAGGACTTAAGATTTGATAGAGAACCACCCACTTCCAGTTGTAGGCAATGTAGATTTGCTACAGCAGAGTATTATATTCTCTGTGTAGACGTATCAAGTTTTGTATTGTGCACGGATGATTGTTTTCCAGTTTTGTTAGCATTATAGTTTACACTGAGGCTGGTTGTGTAATTCTGCTGTTTAAAACAAACAGCAGGCTCTCAGCTGTTCTACACTATTTCTATGCACTTTAAACTTGTAAGTTCTCAGAAGGAAGATAAACTGCCTCTTGGATGTCAATTTCTGTCTGACGCTATTTGAATATAGTACGAGATTTCAAAAAACAGATATGTAGCAATCATGTATTAAAACATTTGAGCTACATAATGGCTTGTATAATGTGAAACAAATGTCTATTTTTATCTGACTTAAACCAATCTGTATACCTAATTTTGATTAAAAAATGGAACATTTTTCAGCTTGGGTCTCTTTCTTTTTAAATTAACATCATGAAGATGATCTAATTCGGGTCACAGCATAATATCTTTCCCAAACACACATGGAAAACATTTCATAAAGGGTAGCTACATGTCCTCTAATTTAGAGAATGGGCAGTTTCCCTCCTGCATTCATTTGAGTGTGGAAGAAGGTTGAACACATCTTGATGAATTATCCCCTCATTGAAAGGAATCTGGAAACTCTTCTTCTCTCTAGTATAACACAATCAACATCTGTGTGAAGTTTTCTATATTATCCTTATAATAAAGAGTAATGGCCTAGAATGGCAGCTACACTGTAATTGAGCTGTGGTGGCACAGTGGTTAGATTGCAGTATTGCAGGCTAACTCTGCTGACTGCCAGCAGTTCGATCCTGACCAGTTCAAGGTTGACTCAGCCTTCCATCCTTCCGAGATAGGTAAAACAAGGAGCCAGATTGTTGGGGGCAATATGATGACTCCATGAACTTCTTAGAGAGGGCTGGCTGTAAAACACTCTGAAGCAGAATATAAATCTAAGTGCTATTGTTAATTTGAACAGAATGATTTCTTGACTGTATGAGAACCAAGGTTCACCATTATTAGGGACTGGCCAGACGCTTTGGCAAAAGGTAAAGTTTGAATGAAAAAAGCAAAGTGTATTGAATTCTCTCAACTAATACCTGTTGCTAAACATAGCTTCCTGTATTTGAATAAAACTTTTTAAAAAACTATTTGAGTTTTTATCCCCATCATCATCACATCCTATGGCTGTGAAATTTATGATGTGAAATCATATACCGTTTCTTCTTTGAACCTACTACAAATATTTTTGTGTCTGCCCTGAGATCTTCTGTTACTCAAGAATTGCACTAGAAGCACTGATTTGATACCTCAATTTTTACAAATATGGATTCTTTGGAACATGCGTTTTTTTTTGCATTTTGATATTTCCATGCTGTCAAAAATGCTGTTTTGTTTTTAGATTTCCAGTAAGCAATTTGAACTTTTCATATTATTAAGATGAGATGAACAAAAACTGAAGACCTAAAGGGTCATCTTTAAAACTTGTTTTAATACCTGACTTTGTGCAAATAAGAAAGAAACTTTGAGTCCTCACTCCTGTAAAGTTGCAATTAGTAAAGTAAAAGTGCAATTTGGAGCCTCTGTGGCGCAGTGGTTAGAGTGCAGTATTGCAAGCTACTGCTGCAGCCAGCTGCCTACAATTTGGCAGTTTGAATCTCACCAGGCTCAACGTTGACTCAGCCTTCCATCCTTCTGAGGTGGGTAAAATGAGGACCCAAATTGTTGGGGGCAATATGCTGACTCTGTAAACCGCTTAGAGAGGGCTGTAAAGCACTATAAAGCGGTATATGTCTAAATGCTATTGCTATTGCTAGTAAACAGGGACACTGGCAAATAACTAAGATGGAAAACAAAGGAACTGCTGAAATATCAGTTGCTGATCACTTGGAAAGAAACAGTTTTTTTTTTTAAAAAAAAACAACTTTTTATCTTGATCAAGTCAAAAAGTAACAATTACACAAATAGGAGAAGCAATGTGGAAGTTTAGATTAAATCATTTAGGACTTGATCCTATTTATTGGTCTTGCTTTAGATTATGTGTGTCCAACTTTTTGTCTTGCTTGAGTCGCACTGAGTGAAGAGGAATTGTCTTGGGTTGCATATAAAATATATATATTATTAATATATATTCATGTATATAATCATATGATGTTAAAAATTTATGAACCTGTGGGGTCGCATTATTAGCTCTCCAGGGCCATGTGTGGCTTGGACATGTTGCTTTAGATAATGCAATAAATACCACACAAACATACACACACATGCACTCACGCACGCATGCACGCATGTGTTTCATATGACTCCATAGCCATATTATTGATCTAATTTGCAGAAACAAACAGTTTGCAGTGGTAAAATAAAACATTAACATATACTTGGCCAATGGAGCAATGTTATAAGGCTTATATACTTCCCACTAAGAAAATATATTTCTAGTATATTCCAAGTAATTTTATATGCAGATTAAATTAAAACTAATGCAGTCATCCTCTTGCATACATACTACACATTATGAGAATTTTTTTTGCTTTTTCCTGTGACAAGCTTTCTTTGCCAGCTTTAAAGGAACTGGAAAGCGTAAGTAATTGTTTTTCTCCCTAAGAAACATTCCAATTCTTACAATATGGAAAACATACACAATTTTTGATCACAAAAATGTTTGGGAATATTCAATATATCATATACAAAGCGAAAAAAAATAGCTTATTGGGGGAAAATGTCAAAGCCTTCAAATACAATCATGACTCATTGAAATATTAATTTAGCAGAGGTCTGGCAAGTTGAGATGTAAAACAACATTTGTAAAAGCCAGAACAATGTGTGCATTCATCTAGTTGCCAGGTAATCCTAGACTGTTGTTTTTCTGTGCTAGAAAAGGGTACTCATTTTAAGATTAATAATGTCCTGTGAGTGACATATTGCAAGTCTCATCACAATTAAGAAGCTGTGGTTGTATGTACAATAGTCCTTCAAAATATAGAACATTTGTAGCTCTCCAACCGCACCACTAAATTTCTTGATCCTCAGCCCTGATTTTTAGAAGTACTGCTGAAGAGAACTTTTAAATCTCTTGGATTCCCAAGAACATTGAAACACTTTTAAACTGAACTATATCCTTTCAAATGCCTCAAATTCCAAGTGAAAGGAAGAGAGAAGCACTGCCATGTATGAACACTCAATACATGTTGAATTTCTTAATATTTTGCTAGGTATAGGAGATATGTATGCCTAGTTCATAGTAATCCACACCCATTGTTTTTATAGCAGGTAGGAACATGTTACAGATTAATTCTTTCCAATACTAGGAATGCAGAAAGAACTTGAAATATTAATTTGGTATATTTCTCAAAACACACAAATAAGGTAGTGAGAAATTGATATTGCAAATAGTCTTCAACTTGTGAGTCTAAATGAGATTGAGAGTGTGATTTAATTACAACAAATTGCTTAATAGCTGAAATTTTATTCTTTGTATCTTAAACCCCAGTTTCATGAGTCTAAAAAAATCTGATGAGGCTTGTTTATGCTGATTCAGTGATCTTTGCATGTGTTCCAGAATAGGAATTCTGGAATTTCCTAGAGCAGATTCAGATCGTGACTAAGGAAAGTGCATTCCTTCCATTATAATTAAAAAGGCAAAGGAATGAAAACACTTAATCCAATAATGAAGTTAAATCCAACAATTCACTCCTAAATAATAGGAAGGGGGTGGCGGTTCAAAGAGTAATATTGAAGAACAAATGATTGCCAAACATAACTAAAAAAAGTTCTCATCAATCAAGCAGTGCAACAAATAGTATGTTAATCTGCAAAACATTAATTTGTACCAAGTTGATACAAATTAATGGAAAGTCTACTTAATGTAGATGTGTCTCCCAACTAGCAGCCAGGAAGGGCATCTGCAAAGAGGAGGTGTGTGTTAAATATTCAAAATGGCAATGACTGCCATATTGACTTTTTTTCACACCCTTTAATTCATGGCTAGCCCGGCAATTGTTACAGCTAAACTTAAGGTAAAATGAAGCTGTTGCACCTATGCAGAACAGAACATGCTCAACCCCCCCTACATATTGTCTCAATCAGTTATATGAACATCTGGAGCACTAGAATTTGCAAGATGGAGATCCCATTCACCCAAACTGAATGATTCTGTACCAGGGTCTTATTTTCTGAATTACACTGTACAGCTTTGTGAGGAGGCATAAAAAGATGAGGAAATTAACTAGTATCATACATGCTTGCTAACAATCAACTACTGTTCAAAACACACCACCTACTCAGATGCAAATGTTTGCTTTGCAGCTTCAGGCAAAATACGGGTAAGATTTCTATCAGGTATTGCTGAAATGATGACGTGTTTTTCAGCAAGGAAGCTGATCTCTCCAAGCGTCAGCTACAAAGAACAGGCCCAGAGAGAGAGAGAGAGACGGAGAACAATCTATCCTCAGGGATTTGGTTCTCTGATGTTTTCAAGAAACTAAGATTCCCCCAACCTATTTACTATGGACTGTCATTTCCATGGTTATGCTAGCCGGGGGCAATTGGAGTTGTAAATATAAAATTCCAGATATAAGGAAGGCACCTACTTGGGCGAGTTTGATCAACACCTAGCCTTTCATCTTCGAGGCCTTTGCTTAGAAAATCTTGAAAACCCTTCTTTAGAACTTCAACACGTCCCAAAACAAACTCCTGAAGAGATTTAGTGCCAACTGTATTTATTAAATATTTAAACAAGGAACAGTAGAATAGGATCAAATAATGGCCGCTATGTTATCAAAGATTCATTCACTGATATAACAAATCCCTTTAACCCTTAGAATTGGCCAAATAGGTCTGTCCCTTATATAAAACAGGAGTCACTAATTGGATTTTGAGAACAAAATATCTCTATGAAGTATTTCTATCTTGAAAGACACTTGACAATGATTTTAAAAGCCTTCCTATTCTACAAAGAAAAAAATAGCGTCTAGGCTAAGATGTAATTTACTTGCAAATTTAGCAGTTTTGCCTGGGAGTGGTTTGTTCATAAGAGCCTGGTTCAGCCCTCTTAAAAAATGAATCACCGCCAGTGGAACTTTGGAACGCTGTGATTGGATTGTGCATTCCTATGATTGGCTGTCAAGTAACTTCTCGCTTCTAATCTGCTCAATTCTGTAGCACACCGGATGCTCATTCTCGCTTAATTTTCAAAGGGAGCCTGACAAATAGAGCATCTGTGATCTCTGGAAATAGATCTTAGTATTTAAGTAGTTGTTTGGATTATTCAGCAATGGATTGGGTTTGCCTACTGTGCTAGGCCACAATGTGGCTTGTTTTGCATTCAGCAAATAACTGCATTATGGCCTACAAAAAAAAAGGGCGTATTATGTCAATTTTCGCTTGAAATCCTTAGATTTTGTTGCTGTTCTTCATGGTTAAAAGCTGGCGTCAAATTATCTAAGAGAACTCGGAGATTTAAAAAAACTTGGAAAAATTAGAATAGGGCCATGCTTCGTTACACTAAGGTCCTTTCTCAGCTTGGAATTGTGTCAGAATTGCACACACAAAAACCTAGGCTAGCTAATGAAATAATTGATCTGCTGGAAGATAAGAAGCAGCTTTGCTTGCCATTTCCTGGGTGATTCCTTTACAGGCTAGTCACCTCCTGGGGAATTTGGAGATCTCATATTTGATTTCTGGATTTTACTTCTTTCAGAATTTCTAACTGCCACCAACTTCTCTCTTTTTTGTCTTGCCTAGTATCATCTGGGACTCACTTCTCAGCCTGAACTCTTTCTTCTGAAAAATGTTGATGCTGTCCCAATCATGAACAGATGAAATCTTGTCCACCACCGTCAACCGAGTGTAACTTATTTGAAACACCTTTTCAATGCTGCACAAAACCAAATTTTGATTGGTTCTGATATTAGCGGGTACAAGTCAAGAATGGCCAATGGAGACTGAGCTTCCCCTTGAAAGAAGAAGCAGGAAGGAGAGTCAAATTATGAAGAGTTATCTGTTACACTGGGAAACAGACCTCTTTAGAGGCTGGCTGTACATGAGGTCAACTATGAAGGCTATTAAAGGACTATTGACAAAGTTGAAGCATACCTTGTAAGTGAGAAAAATGGTTCTAATTGACAGACAGCTGCAAAATGCAGAAGGTAACAAAAAGGTGAAGAGCTATGAATGAAATAAGGGGGCTCAACTTAATATTTATTTTTTTTGCACATCTCAGTTCATTTATGAGGAGGCTGGAAGAGAATTACACTGGAGAGAGTCGCAAATAAAGGGAGAGTTTGGTACCATCTTCCTCTTTTTCCACTTAAAAATCCTTACCTCTTTATTGGTATAAATAGGTACATATTTGTAAATAAAAGTTCTGATAGGAAGCCTCCCACTTAATACAAAGTGTCATTAATCTGTTTTGGAAGGATTCACAATTCTCTCTTAACTTCTGATTTCTGGAATGCTGTTAGATTGGGTTCTAGAAATTAAGCAATATCCTGCTTTAATTCAAAAGGAAAATTGAACAGAACTTTCTGAAACTCTTAATGATCATAATCCACCAGGAAGAGTATCTGCGTGAGCCCTATATAAGACATTAAATAAAGATGAACAAATAGAAGATGGAATAAGAACACATTTCAAGTTTTTTAGGATTAGACCAGTATTTCTCAATCTTGGCAGTTTGAGGATGGGTGGACTTCAACTCCCAGAATTCCATTGGCTGAGGAATTCTGGGAGTTGAAGTCCACCCATTTTCAAGTCCCCAAAGTTGAAAAAGAGTGGTTTAGACAAAAAAATTTATAGGTTTCCCAGCGATGTTCCTATCCTAAATTCAATGTTTCATCCCATTTCCTTCATATGGCATATTCCTGTGCTTTGCATACATGAAAAGCATGTGTTTGCTAACCCTTTGGTTCCCTGTTTTGTTTAACTGTTGTAGGGAGTTTTTTGTTTCCTTTTGTTTCATGCAAGTCTAATTCCTGAGCATACTATTTGCTTCAGTGTGCTTAAACTGCAGATTCTGCTTAGCCCAAAATCATTCTAAATTGTCATTGTTTTTCCAACTGGGTCCCTGATTCTTTTCTCCAGAAGCTGTAAGACCATAGACTCTAAGGAAAAAACATGATTACTAAGAATAAATAAACCTAGAGGCTGTTGTTTCCTCTCAAGAAAGTTTAGTAGTGAGAAGAAGAATATAGAGAAAGGTAAATTCCAAAGAAATCCACTGTAGGTCCTCTTTCTTAATTGCTGGTGGAAAACTCCAGCCCTATGATGGCCCCAAAACTCTGGCTGTTCCACTAGCAATGTAAGGGCATGTCAAGTGGATTAGGGAAGCTTTGGATGCATTAGTGTCCCTGATCTTTAATGACAATTATCATCAAGAAGGAATAGAAGTAACAAATCCAATAATAATTCTCCCTTGTCCCAATTTCTTGAAGATTAATCAACCTTCTTTTCTGAGCTTGAATTAAACATGAAGCCTTTTGCTCAAGAGGTTCTATATCTCGAAGACTTTTGCCCTCATCCTTGAGTTTAATCTGTTCTGCTTTTTCTGGCTTCTGCTAGCATTGTTCAAGTTATGCCTCAGGCTCTGGATAAAAGTGTTTGTTCATTCAAGTACAAAGAAAGTTTCACGCACATTTTTACAGTTGGAGAGACAGAACTGGGAGGAATTTCTTTGATAGAGAGCAGGGGTCTCCAAACTTGGCAACTTTAAGACTTGTGGACTTCAATTCCTAATGTTCCCCAAACAGCATGGCTGGCTAAGAAATTCTGGGAGTTGAAGTCCACAAGTCTTAAAAGTTGCCAAGTTTGGAGACTCCTGATATAGATTATACACAATCCGATTTACATAGTTCACCTTGGTTTCAAGTCAGAAAACAATATAGGGCTAGACAGATTGTTCAAAATGCTACCTGAGCATGCACAGGATTGCAACCTTGTACTTACTCTCTAAGCTTTGTTATAAAACTTGTTCAATGCAGTATTAAGATTGGAGGAATTCCACCACAGACTATCCACTCAATCCTTGTATCACTTTTCCCTTTGAGAAGTAGCTTTCTAGCCCTCATGACAGGATCACTTAAAAAAAAAAAAAAAGAAAGGCACGTGTGATAAAATATATATATTTTACTTGAAATCCTATATTTTGCATTTGATATTTCACTTCCCATTTCGTCTCCTTTTCTGTGATTGCCAGCAACTTCAAAGTCCATAGTCCATTCCCATTTTCCTGCAGTCCAGTTCCAGAATAAAAAGACAGGTTTTAAAGATTGTGTAGGAGATAGCGTACTCTACATCAAACAATTTTCATATCTTCTATCTCACATCTGAGAATAAGGATACCGTGGTATCTCTCATTGTAAAATGCCTCCCATCTCATCTCCTTTTTAACCATCATTGGTGGCATACCTTAGCATGACCAGATTTATTTGTTGCTTTCACATTCCGGTGTTAAGATTTAATTTAATTTCCAGACCTTTATGAGAGGATGCACCTAGATGCAAAAATAAAATAAACGCACTCAGCATTGAACTTTGATTTCAGAAATTTCCCATTCCAAAACCATTCAAGTTTCCAATCCTTACATTCAGAAATAAATTGGCAATATTGGTAGAAAACACTAATGCTCATAAATACTACAGCTGCTTTAGTTGGCCAACGTGCATCCTATCTCTGAATATTAGATATTCTCTTTGATTTTGGAAATCTAATGTTGACATAGCTTTAAAACAAAGTTATGCCAACAAAGTCGCATAGTCTTTAACCATGACAGGTAGATGTTCTTTTGCAACAGTCTTGTATGTAGTTTGGGGCAGATGTGTCTTGTTCAGCAATAAATTGAGACTGGCTTCTAAGACTGGCTGCAAAGCTGTTGCCAAAACTTTGCTTTCTGCTTCAGATTGAAGAATGTAATATTCCTATGCTCAAACTGATGTCCAAGTCTCTTACTTGACCTGGATGCACAGGTACATTTGAACTCACTAGGTTGATGGTACTACCAGAACGATCAGATAGCAATGAAAATGATTCAAGGTGCTCAAAATATTTGTAACTGGGCAATAAAATATTTGGTTTAGTACCTTTGGTATCAATTGCTTTGAAAAGTTTAATGTTACAAAATCCATTTTCCTTTTTGTTAATTTTGCTTGACATTTGGTACTAATTTATTTGAAATGTTGGGTCAGCCATTTTGGTTTATTTAAATGAAAATCCAGATCTTCAAATAAATATCAAATACTTACTCCTCTTTTGGGGATCTCATCTTATACCAAATGTACGTCATTACAATTCCTTGCATTCTGTGACTTTTTAAAAAATTAATAATAATACAGAACTGCTTTAAGTACAGTAATTGCAAACATGAGAACCAATGGTGGTTTTCAAAGTGGTTTACCACCAGTTCGGTGGGTGTGGCTTGGGGGGTATGCTTTGCGCGCGTGCCAAACACACACTTTGCGCATGTGTAGAGGCTTTCCTGCTAACCTCCTGCAATCCCTGTAGCTTCAACAGCTGATGCGCAGCAATCTGCTATGCCGTGCAAAGCAGCTGTGCTTCAAAAGCAGGGAATAAAGACCAGTATGGGAGCCCAGGCAGGCAGGTGGGCCCAACAGCAGCTCGTCAGAACCGGTTCAGTCTCGGCTGATCTTTGGCGCTACCAGTACGCCAGAACTGGGCTGAACTGGTAGAATAGCACCACTGATGAGAATTGCTCTCTCCCCTCATTCTTCTATCTGAATGATATTGTAAAAACACTTGGATGGGTGAGAGGAAGAACACTGAAGCTTCAGAGGAACTACTCTGGAGGTAGATAATTAGTGCTAAATGGAAGTTGTTGAGGAATACTTGAAAGGTAGGAAAGGAAGGAAGAAGGGAGGGAGGTGTAGAGGGAGGAAAGAAAGAAAGAGAAAGAAAAAAAGAAAGAAGAGAGAGAGAGCAGGAAATATATAGGTACAAACCAGGGATGGGATCCGACTGGTATAACTACCGGTTCTGTCTATTAGCGTTGCGCGCGCATGCGCGAATCATGTGAGTGCAATTTACAACCTGCTGAGCTGCCTGGACAGCTGAGCAGCGCTGCATGCAGGTGCACAGCGGTTGGAAAAGCCCTTTTTTCCTGCTTTTTCAACTGCAGCTGTGTCGCGCAAAGCAGCTGAGGTTGAAAAAGCAGGAAATAAAGGTCAGGCGGGCGGGTGGGCCACAACAGCAGCAGACATAGAACCAGTTCTATGTCTCCTGCTCTTCGGAGCAACCTGTTCTACAGAGGTGGACAGAACAGGTAGAAACCCACCCCTGGTACAAACTGCTTGAATGGGTATTGTGGAAAAACTTTCGATGTGCTGCAGAATCTTCCAAATTGTTCCCAGAAATGGTGCCCATCTTAAGGCATCTTAAGGCAATTACCAACATTGGTGTCTGCACAAACAAGATGACACTTGTGGGATCATGATGCCTTGTCTGTTTTTATTATGTTCATGCATGTGCAAAGGAGGTGGGGTTTTCTGTTGTGATGTCGCAGCTTCCATCATTCCCTGTTTATAGACTGCCAGTTACCTGAATCAGCTGTCCGAATTTGCTTAGATAAACACTCTTTAATTACATCCAAGATAATCTGGGAGTTGACTTTGTGTATAGAATCCATAAGATATTGTAGCTGACTTCTTGACATATAAGTATTGCTGCAACTAGTGCAGGAGTGAGCTGCTTCCAGACCACATACGGGTCTCCAGCTCCTTTCTGCCCTGTCCAGAGCCCCCTACAATGCTATATATTGGCAGCAAAATCATCCATTAAAAATGCAGGTAAAATAGATGCCTTAATCCTCCAGTAATGTTAATGCACCTATGTTGTGAAAATAAGGCTGGAAGCCTCACTGCCATGCTTCAGTTGAAGTCAGAAGCTGAACAAGTGTTAACTTTGTTCTTTCTCAACTACTTGGGAAGTGCAGAAATAATGTTTGAGGTTGATGAGAAAAGCTGGACAACTTCGGAAAACAAGATATAACAAGTATTACAATACCTCCGTTACTTGGAAATAGAAAACTAAATAAATTGCAGGTGACAAAAAATATATATATTGATTTTTAAACACAACCTAAAATAAAAGGGCTTGAACAGCTCCATTCTGAAATCAAATGCTGTTCTTAAAGCAGCCATTTAGTGTCTACTTCTTTAGTGTCCGTTCTCCAAAATGGAGAGAGAATATCAATCCTGCCCTCCCAATATTGTTCCGAAGTGACAGCCAGATTGCTAAACTTAAAAGAGTAATCACAATCTTAAATCACGATCCCTAAAACACTAGACTTGCTTTTTGTTTCTTCATATTGGATGTGTAAATTCAACATCATGACTTCAAACCATCTTTTTTAAAAAAATTCTTATGATTGCAAGCATAATCTAAAGAAGAAAGTGATATCTTCACAGGAATTGGAAACAATGCATATAAATTAGCAGGTGGTGTTCATGGCCTGCTTTTCTGTATAAATCACTTTTGTTCCTGGAAAGGATCCTGTTTTAATATGTTTCTTTTGGAGACGATCAGTGGTCAGAATACAGAATAACAGAATTGGAAGGGACTTTGTAGGTCATCTAGTCCAACCCCCGGCCCAAGCAGGAGACTCTATGCCATTTCTGACAAGAGGCTGTCCAGTCTCTTCAGTGATGAAGCACCCACAACTTCTGGAGGCAAGTGGTTCCACTGGTTGATTGTTCTGTCAGAAAATTTCTCCTTATTTCTAGGTTGAACCTCTCTTTGATCTGTTTCCATCCATTGTTCCTTGTCTGGCCTTCAGGTGTTTTGGAAAATAGATTGTTTCCCTCTTTTCTGTGACAGCCTCTCAAATATTGGAACACTACTATATACAGTATGTCATCCCTGGTCCTTCTCTTCACTAGAGAAGAACAAATCCAAATTGGATCCAGCATACAAGTAGTCTTCGACTTAAACCATCCCTGCTTCTCCCAGACAATAATCCAAAGCTATGTGAGACTCCTTTCATTCTTCCTTTGGCTTCCTTCCCACTAGTGAATGTCATGTCTGTACTTCCTTCCCCCTTCTTCACTAGTCTAGTGAAGAGAAGAACCAGGGATGACATATATAGAATAGAATAGAATAGAATAGAATAGAATAGAATAGAATAGAATAGAATAGAATAGAATA